ATGCCCTGTGACTCAAGGGTACTCGTGGCAGTGTAGCCGAGTGGTTAGCGTGTCAAGCCACCGTCCTGCAATGTCGCGGTCCCCGCTGAGGGTGTTGATAAGACCAATGCGAGGTCGAAACTGCAGTCCACCCTGGATGAGAACAACTTTTATGAAAACAAGGCTATGTGAAATTCAATGTAAACGTCAACTCAACTCATATCATTGTGGAGAACAACTTTTGGGAAAGAAAGGCTATGTGAGATTCAATGGAAAAGTCAGCTAAACTCATATCATTATGTTTTTGGGAAAGCAAGGCTATGTGAAATTCAATGGAAACGTCAGCTCAACTCATATCATTGTGGGAAAATCTTTGGGAAAGCAAGGCTATGTGAAATTCAATGGAAAAGTCAGCTAAACTCATATCTGCTATATCATATTCTTTTTGTGAAATTCAATGGAAACGTCAGCTCAACTCATATGATTGTGGGAAAATTCGTTGGGAAAGCAATACTATATGAAATTCAATGGAAACGTCAGCTCAACTCATATCATTGTGGGAAAATTCTACTTGCAAGGCTATGTGAAATTCAATGGAAAAAGTCAGCTTAACTCATATCATTGTGGGAAAATTCTACTACCATTCCTTCATCACCTTACACGAAATAGGGTGAATACATCTCATTACACTGATTTACTGGTAGTCTCGAAACCCTAGTCACATACGAATAGGAAGCATTATGTTGAGGAAAGGAGTATCATACCAATACAGCCGAGATTGGTTTGGAGAGCTGACTCTAATTTTCAGGTTGCAGTGGTTTGGCCTAGTTTTCGCAACTTGGTCGTTATGTCGAGGCAAACTAGATGGAAGCACCTCGTCGGATGTTCTCTGTTATACTAGTTATGATAATTCCCAGCGTGAGAATCGACCAAGTCCGCAATTCGAAGCAGGAAGAAGAAGAAGACTTTGGATAAAGCGTCATAGTCTAGGTTACCCTGACAACACGACGAAATTGTGAAAATTAGGTCAAACCAGCTCCTAATGAGATTTGAAGCGGGAATGTTTGGGCCGGCAAGGTCAAGCATCGGTACCAAAGTACGTACAAAGTCATAAGGTGAGTAAGGCCTGCTTCGCTTTAAAATTCGAGCTTTAAGTCTAGATCAATCAAAATAGGGTCGAGTCTTTCGGCGAAAACTCATTTGCTCCCAAACACGCACATTCACGGTTCAGACCCCTCTTGGGCTTCTGATGCAACGATGAAGTGAATTTGAAACGACAGTCCTGCCTGGATGAAAATGGGACCCAAAATGCAATGAATTTCCGTGAGTAAAAAGGCTAGCAATCTCGTTAAATGCATAGGAAACTTGTGCAGCCTGAGCACTTTTGTGCAATGATATTTATCTATACGGAATCAGATAGGTAATTTTTAGTAATAAATTGGGGGAAAATCCTTGTATCCAAACGGCTCGTAGCAAATAAATTTGGTAAAAAGAGAAGGACAGTGGGAAAAAATCTAGTTGGTATTGTGCATTAAAGGCTTTCTGTCTGTCAAGATATATGCTATTCTGTAATTTATGATCGGAATCGTTATGAATCACGTGATTACTTAATTTAATTAATTACTTTTATGTATGAGACCAGCATGTAGATTATTTTTGATTTGTGTAATTTATATGATATCTGGTCTACTATTACATGAGACTCACGAGGCCGAGTAGTTTGCCCTACATGGTAGGATAAGGACTATAAAAATCTTTAAGCATTATGAAAATGTAAGGTTGTACCACTCGAGACAGCGGGTAGAATGAATGTCTACCTTTGGCTCAATAAAGTGTATGCTTTAACCGACAACTAGTTTGCAGCCCTTGTTAAATCTGACCCTGTCACTCGTGGCAGCATTCCAGTATATGGGAGTACTTACCTGTCCAAGCACATTGGCATGGGCCATTCTAACTCCGATTTGCTGCCTGGCCTTCTGCTTTGCTGCGCGCTTACGCAAACCCGGATTTGCGGCCAGACAAGCGAGCAGTCCGACTCTGTTCAGAGGATGCAGGTCTTCGTAACGATGCCATATGAGCGAGGAGCAAAATTCCTGTGTGAAGAAGCATTAGGCAAAAGTGGCAAATATATGAGAAAATAGTTTTTCTGGCAGTTAGTGAACATTTTAAAGATAAGTTACTTGAGAGGACAATAAAAGAAATAATCAATAGTTTTGACAGAAAGGGAAGTTAAGGCGGAAAACTTTAGTGGAAAAAAGAGAGAATAGGTTACAAAATAAATGAAGGAAAAGATATAAGTTCTCGAATAAGGGCGATACAGCAAATTCCATAAGTAGAATAAGAAGAGAAAAGCCAAGGAAATATATGGACACTGGAAAAGAGGAATCTCATCATTAAATGAGTTATTGCGAAAATTCGTGGTAAAATGCAATGATATGATTAGGGGAAAATAGGTATAATAAAAAAATCAAAGCATACCACGAAACAATGAAAAATAGTAAAATGTTAGTGGATTCTGTCACTAGACCTTTCATTTCAAAGAAGAATTTTGGTCGAAGATATTTGTGAAGCGGACTCACCGAAAATGGAAGGAAGATGACCTTGGAGCTGTTCTGTTGATTTATGTGAAGAAGTAATGGAAAAATCATCTTGTGATCCAGATGAATCGGGTCTGAACTTTTTTTTGTCATGTGACAGACATCGTTTCTGAAACACTCATTCAAGCAAGGTGACCGGATGCAATCCTACAACTTTCTATAGCCTAGATTTGCCCTCTTTATGAGGCATCCCATGCATTTGTTTGCTACTTTATTCTTCCCTCATATATTTGGAGCTAAGTTAAGTGGTTGTGGATGACGCGTGATCGTACGGCCATTTATCCACAAAAGTACTCGCATTTCGATCATGCAATGTTCACTTGTATACTTGTAATCGTTTGCACGTATTTTGCAAGCATTCAATGCTCAAGAGTCATGTGAGCGTTGAAAGCCCTCGCCTGATTTGAGGTTACTCATGCCCTTTCAGCGTGATGTATAAAAGATCACGATTAATTTGCCCCCAATGAAAACACATTTCGGGAGGCTTTCAATGGAAAATTCTAATGTGTTTATTATTCCAATAAATGAAAAATCAATAGAATATGGTGATTTGCTTGTAATTCGTCTCGGAGACTAGTATTCCTGTAACTAGAGCAAAATAGACTTTGCAGTTATCATCAGCTTACCTCCTTGCTATTGTAACAAGTGATAATGTAAGCAGAGATGTAATCATTATATTTATGAATTTATACATGAAAAGTACATATTATACCCCAATTAATTTGCTCAAGCAAGCACGAATTTTAGCTATGAGATTTACCCCCGGGACAAGTAAATGGAAAGATTGAGGAACACTTTAACGCAGAACCTATATTCACTAGAATTAATTGACAAGTATTATTATGTACTGAGATGTATGCTATAGGAAAACAGCTATTTAGAACAAGAAAATCTGCTTTCGAATAAGTTAGGTAAACAAATTGAAGAGTGTATGAAGAGAAATTGACACTTTCCACAATTATGCTTGTTTTCGAGGGCTTTCAAACCTGCATAGATATGAGTGTTGCGAGGCTTTAGACCCATGCGGTGATGCCGACCCATAAAGTAGAAATTATCTGAAGAGTAAACCATCTACAAAAGTCTTCAAGTCCAAAATTCTGAACTGGCAGAGCACATGGCTATGAATTGTGAAAGCATAAACCTTCGAAAGGTTCTGGGTCTCTGCATAATAATTGGACTTAGGCAAAAATGGAAACAAACAAAGTGACCATCCTCATGAACAGAAGGGACGAATATAAGCAAGTGAATAGGAGACACACGTGGCTACTTAAAAGATGAGCAAGAATGAAGAGGCGATGAGAGCTAGCAAGCAAAACAAGAAACCTTGAATAGGCTCAAATCTGGTCAGGGTTCCTGCATCTCAC